CCCCAAAACCCCAAAACCCCAAAACCCCTCGCCAATCTATAAAAATTGAAATTATTCTCAAAAATTCTTAAAAATGGTTATTAAAAAATCAAGTGAAACTTCTTCAAAATTGCCCAAATTCAGCTCAACAGAGCCCGAAATCACAGACCCTAAATTCCAAGAAGAACTCCCAGAAATCACGAACTTTATCACCAAGTAACTTTCCAAATTCCACTCCAAAAACCCTTCAAACAAACCTCACCAAAATTAACCCCTTAAAAATCCCCCAAATCCCCAATACCCCCCGAAATTCCCTTAACCCCCTTAAACCCCCCTAATCCCCCAAATCTCTTCCTCTAACCCCCTCTACAGCACAGCCCCGTCCCCCCTCCAAAGATCAACGAATAAAATAAAAGAAAACCTCAAAATCAACGGCTTTGAGCCCCCAAATTCCATCACACAACAGCCAAAAACTCTCAGTCAGAAATTATCCAGGCAGGATAGAGGTAAGTTTGTTCGGAATGGTGCTGAACAGAATATAGGTCAAGGGTCTGGGGGTAGAGAGATGCTAGAGATGCTCAGTAATGATTTAAGGGAATATCCAGTGTATTTTTCGGATCATGAGAAGGGGAATTATGGTGGTAGGGGTTTGAAGGTTTAGTATAGAAGATTTTGGTGAAGATGGAGCTCCGAAAGCATATCTGATAGAGCCTTATGCAAGAAGAGGTACTTCAAAGTCATTGTTCAACGCACCTCCTTGTGGAGATGGTATACAAGGAAATTCGAAGTTCTTAGCTCAGCCTGGTTCTAAAGCTCAAATCCAATGGATTATCCAGAACCCTGTTCCTGGAGGTCACTGACAAATAAAACTTTCTAGTGCTCATTCTGATGACATCTCCTCCTATAATTTTCTCCAAGTGAATGTTAATGACTTCAACTCCAGGACTGGTACCTTCAGTTGTGGGGATCCTCAGAAGACCATTGAGGAGGCAACAGTGGTGTTTCCTTACGATATCTACTGCGAGAGGTGCACTCTTCAATGGATTTACAATGCTCCAGGGTATGGATCAATCTTCCAATGATCAGATATCTCCCTTCAATCAGGAGAGGTGAGAGAAAATGAATGCCCAGTCGAATGCATCAATGGAGGAGTCTGCCAAGATAGCCTCTGCTACTGAGCAGCAGGATATTTCGGAGAGTCTTGTGAGAACATAGGAGATCCTAAGCAGTTCTATGAGCCGGTGGCTCATAGATATCCTCTGGAATCTCCCTATTCTAAGTCTCTATCTCCTTCAGATACAAGTGGAAGTATGGGATTCTTTGGGTGGTATTTCCTCTTTCTCTTTCTTGCTCTGTTAATCTCTGGACTTATTGCTGCATTCTGTTTCTTCTTTTATAAAAATGAGATTAAAGAAATCCTCGGTATGAGGGAGAGAGAAGATCCTAGAAATTTAAGAAAAGATTTTGAGCAATCAGACAGAAGAGATATAGAAAATATCAGAGAGAAACAAAGAAGAGAATTGATTGAAAGAGAAAATAAAAGAAAGGAGGAAGTTGAAAAAGAGCGAAAAGAATTAGAAAGAAAATTAAAGCAAGATCTTAAGAACAAAGAAACACAGGATGATAATAGTCATGTAGAGGAAACTAAACAAGAGAATAAACAAAAGGCTAAAAATAGTAAAAACGAACAAAATAGCAAGAAAAAGGACAAGAAATCTAAAAAATCTAAAGTAAGTCCAAACCTCCAATCCCATTTCCCTAACCAAAATTTCCTACCCCACTTACCCCCTCCTCCCATCCCCTTTTCCTCACCCAAAATTACAGTCAAAATCAAAAAAAAAGTCAAAACAATCCAAATCCCCCAAAAATCCCAAAAGTCCTCAAAAAGACTACCTAAAAGTCCCCTCTCCAGCCCTGCACTAACCCACCCCCACTTCCTCCAAAAAAATTTCAACATTTGTTCACAAATAAGGGGTTTTGGGGTTTTGGGGTTTTGGGG